GGAAGAGCTCTGCTGGGTCATACCGGTGAGGGTCCATCTAGTCCAGCATCCTGTCTCAAAGAATGGCCAACCAGTCCCTCTGGAGGGCCAACAACAGGGCAGAGAAGCCGAGGCCTTCCATTAATGTTGCCTCCTGGCTCTGGGATTCAGAGGTTGACTGCCTCTGAATATAGAGGTTCTCTTTAGTCACCATGGCTAGTAGCCTTTGATAGACCTCTCCTCCATGAATCTGTCTAATCCCCTTTTTAAAGACATCTATGCCTGTGGCCATCACTACATCCACTGGCAGCAAATCCCAAATTTTAATCACTCTCTGTATAAAAGAGTATTTAACATACACACACAAGTATTTAAATTTTATTGATCTTGGGCCACTCTGGACCAATGTTCCCTCTAAGCTGTGAAGTCCTGTGAGCAAAAATTCTACTTTGTGAGCTACTGGCAATACAGTTGTGAGCGAGTAATTTGGCTGCTGCATAAATTAGTTTGCTCTGGAGCCACCCTTCCTGAGCTAAGATAAAAATGTGTGAGCCTGAGGCTAAAAAACAGTGAGCTAGCTCACACTAACTCAGCTTAGAGGGAACAGTGCTCTGGAGTTAGCCCCCATCCCTGAAGCATCTTCGTCGCACTTCCCATTATCTTTTTGCTAGCGTTGGTGGGGTTGGGGGAAGGCCTTGCAGGTTGTCTGATAATCACTGGGCAGAGAAGAAATCCGAGGATTTAGCTAAACCCTTTTATCTCTTGGCCAACATTTTTCTGGAAAGGCACGAGATCCCTTTGGCCACCTGATCCCTAGCAGATGGCCAACCGACGGTGAAAGTATCCAATTTCTGACCATGCCGACTTTAAACGCACTGTTCCCCCACACACACACCAGCGATCTGCCTGCCCAGTTTCCTCCCCAGTTGCTTAATCAGGTTGGATCCTCTTATGCCAATCTGTCCCATCTCTCCTCGCGGCCGTGTGCATTTCAAATTCATTTTTTTAGAATTTGTAGGTACTTTGGAACCATGCACCCATTCTCCTTCCTCTGTGTTTAGCTCTGCCAAAGCTTGAACAAACGGAGGAGGGGATCAGGTCAGACAGAAAAGCAGCTGTTCACCTATGGCGAGTTAAAAAATCGCCGTAGGTGACCAGGAACTTCACTGTTCAGCCTGTCTCCAAATGACGGTTGTAGGTATGTGAAGTCCGTCAGGATACAAATGATGGTTGAGGGGGTTTATAATCTTGGGATTTATAATTTTGAACTTGTTTGTAAGGTTAGCTTCAAAGCTGCATTTGGAAGAAGAAGAAAAGATTAGATTTATACACCCCGCCCTTCACTACCCGAAGGAGTCTCAGAGTGGCTTACAATCTCCTTTCCCTTCCCCTCTCCACAACAGACGCCCTGTGAGGTAGGTGGGGCTGAGAGAGCTCTGAGAGAACTACTCGTCAAGAGAGAACAGCTCTGAAACAACTTGTGACTGACCCAAGGTCACACCAGCAGCTGCATGTTAAGGAGTGGGGAATCGAACCCGGTTCTCCTAGACTAGAGTCTGCACTCTTAACCACTACACCAAACTGACTCTCTATTGCACCCTATTGCAGCCTCTGAATTTTAGACACTACATCTATTTTGTAGCGTGCCGGCCTGCACAAACTTAGAATCGTAGAATCTCAGAGTTGGAAGGGACCTCCAGGGTCATCTAGTCCAACCCCCTGTGACACGCTGGCTTGGAAAACCAGGAGACCAACGACCCAGGTCCTCTTTGAGCATAGAAATGTTCCCTTCCGGGAAGCCCCAAAGGAACCGTTTTCACTTGCGGCCGAGCAAAAGGTCTGCTTCCCGGTTTCACCCCTCATTCCAAAACTTGACGAAAGAGCCAGTTTGGTGCTGAGAGCCAGTTTGGTGTAGTGGTTAAGCGCGTGGACTCTAATCTGGGATAACCGGGTTTGATTCCCCACTCCTCCTCCACTTGCACCTGCTGGATGACCTTGGGCAAGCCATAGCTCTGGCACAGCTGTTCTTGAAAAAGAGCAGTTTCTGTCAAGAGCTCTCAGCCCCAGCTACCTCACAGGCAGTGTTCCCTCTAAGCTGAGTCGGTGTGAGCTAGCTCACCATTTTTGAGCCTCCAGCTCACACATTTTTGTCCGAGCTCAGGAAGGAGGGCTCCGGAGCAAACTAATTGATGCAGGAGCCAAATGGCTCGCTCACAACTTTGATGCCGGTAGCTCACAAGGTAGACTTTTTGCTCACAAGACTCCACAGCTTAGAGGGAACATTGCTCACAGGTTGTCTGTTGTGGGGAGGGGAAGGGAAAGGAGTTTGTAAGCCGCTCTGAGACACCTTTGGGTAGTGAAGGGCGGGGTATAAATCCAATCTCTTCTTATTCTTATTCTTTTACCTCACAGGGTGTCTGTTGTGGGGAGGGGAAGGGAAAGGAGTTTGTGAGCCGCTCTGAGACACCTTCGGGTAGTGAAGGGCGGGGTATAAATCCAATCTCTTCTCAGGGAGGGGGAACTTGAAGATGGCACGGCCTGTTTCCTCGCCCTGAATTGGCACGTCTGGATTCTCCGGTGGCCTCTCCCCTCCCCGCCGCATATTTTTATTTTAGAGCCCCAAACGTGACCATCTGTTCCACAGAAATCACACCCAAGGTTAATAACCGAAATGTCATTTCAATCCAAATCCCTCACGTTCGCTCGGAGGGTTTAAGCTTGGAACGTCTGGCCCCTTTCGTTTTTTAATACCTCTCCGCGCTCTGTCTGCACCTCCCCCCCCCCGCGCGTCCTCTCCACAATCTCCCCAACCTGCTTCTTTCCAGGAATTATATTAACGTCCGCAGAGAGACCCCTCCCTGCCTCTTCGTCCCCTTGGAGAGAGGCGTTTCCCTCCCTGAAGGGTGCGACTGAAAGCGCTTTCTGATCTGGGGTCTCTCTGCATCGCCCCACGCCCATCTAGACAAGACCCTCCGTCTTAATCGGGGGGGACGGCAGGTGCGTTTGGCCGACGAGGGATGAGGAATGCGGAGATGGTTCCGGCTTCCTCTCTGCCGGCAGGATACTAGGATGCCCCTCACCCACACGCACCCACCCCGCTCCCATGTTTCAAGCCCGCTGCCGAGAGACTTTGTTCGTCACCGACTGGGGGGTCCCCTTGGCCGTCGCCCTCCTCCTCCTCGGTTTGATCTACCTCTTCATCTACCTGCCCGCCAGTCACTCGTCGGCAGAGGATGCAGTGAGGAATTTGACCGAGAAGTGCGGTCACAGTGGCGTGGACTTCGTCAAACAGTGAGGGGCTTGCAGGTGTGGGCCCCCACGCCCAGAGGGTGTTGAGGCTCCACCTGCTTCCCAAATCTATTCGGCCCTGGAGGCACACAGCAGCGGACGCACAGGTAGCGAGGAAGACTCGGAACGGGAACGGTTTCCGAGAGAATATTTCGGGTGCCACCTTCGTGAGTTGACACCCCCAGTGGAACAACCTTCCGCACGTCTCCTAGGATCTCCTGGAACACTTAGACCCTCCGTCTGCCAATCTCGCCAACTCCGAGGGAAAGAGGACGCGTAATGTCCGCATGCTTCGTCAAAGGCAGAAGTTGTGGGAACTTGTGTTTCTTTCTCTGCGTGCTTGGTGTTCCGTTTTGGTAGAGGGACCCTTCGTCCTTGTCACAGTTTTCTACTTGCAATGGCAGACGCAATTTGTAATCTACGAGGACAACCGGGGACCAAAGGGGTACAGTCTTATTAATGGGTTTATGCAGTGCTCCCTCTCAGCGGAGTCAGTGTGAGCTAGCTCACCGTTTTTTTAGCCTCCGGCTCACATATTTTTGTCTCCGCTCAGGAAGTTCCGGCTCCGGAGCAAACGAATTTGTGCAGTAGCCCAGTCGCTCGCTCACAACTTTAACGTCGGTGGTTCGCAAAGTAGAATTTTTGCTCACAAGACTCCGCAGCTGAAAGGGAGCATTGGACTAAGGTTTCATTTAATCCCCCCCCCCACTTAAAACTCTGTTGTAATGGCATTTCAGCTGGGCTAGCTGAGGGATGCTTCCCCCTTCCCAGGTTAAATTCGGAGTCACCCTTCCCTTTTCCACCCAAAAAGTTTATTCATTTTTCAGAATTTAGAAACTTCTTTTCTCCCCCACGTCAGGACACTCTAGGCGCTTGCTTCCTAGAGCATGAAGGAGGGAGGGCTATGCTTCCCACTCAGGGGTTCACTGCTGCAGGCATGCCACCTGATTGGAAGGAAGTGAGCAGTGACATGCAGAGATGCGGCAGGCAGCCTCCTTTGCGGACAGGTGATTCTGCGTCGGAAGCCATCGCACCAATTGCACGTGATGCAGACGCGCCAGAGAATCACCTGCCCGCTGCAGATATTGGCTAGATCAGAACAGCAACTCATTCAGAGATCCACAAGCATCCTCCCTTGTAAATGCTTTAAGTGTGCAGGAAACTTGTGAGTATTTGAGCGTGGGGACTGACTTTTATCTGGTGCTTCCATGTCACCCTACAATGCATGTGAAACAGCAAACGGTGTCTGGAGATGGATTTGATCCGCCTGTTCCAAGAGAAGGTTTAATTTGTTCGCTTTTAAAATCCAAAATGCAGGATTCCGGTCCTCAGTGTGTGCAGTTAATCCCTATGCTGGGCAAGCAGTGTCTGCAAAAGGTCACTTTTTGTCTTGCAAATGTCTTGCCCGTTTGATTTCAGCTCTGCTTTAAAGTCCCACGCTTACCGTAATAGCTTCTAGCTTGAGATTTTGTGTTTGAGACTCGGACGACAGGCGTCGACCTTTTGCAGCTTTCTCTCCTGTCCTGTGTGGTGCATTCTGTATAGTTGTTAGCTGCTGCGTTTGCGGAGGTGTTTGCCCTCAATCCTTGCTTTTGCTGTCTGCCTGAAGCCGCGAAGGACCAATAAAGCTACCGTGTGTACCCACGACCATTATGTGAGTGTCTCAGTTCCCCCGGAAATGCCTTTGTGCTCTCTTCTTCTTAAACATCTAGAAACTGTTGTCCAGATTACAACGGGCCTTCTTGCACGGTTCGCGACTCGGTTGCACAAACCTGTGCGTTTCTCTCCCCCCGAGCCGAACAAACCGGTCCTCTTGACACCTCGCAAGCGGGTATTGCGCCGAATTGCGTATTTTGTATACACGGATTCTTCTCTTTGTGCTATGACGTGCTACGGAACACTCACAAACATTCCAGCTTCTGACGGGGAAGCTGTTGGCAGTCGCGTGTTGGCGAGCTGTGGTAGTTCCATACAATGTTCCCTCTAAGCTGAGTCAGTGTGAGTTAGCTCACAGCTTCTTAGCCTCCGGCTCACACATTGCTGTCTCAGCTCGGGAAGGACGGTCTCCAGAGCTAACTAATCGATGCAACAGCCAAATCGCTCGCTCACAACTCTAATGCCAGTGGCTCGCAAAGTAGAATTTTTGCTCACAAGACTCCACGGCTTAGAGGGAGCATTGGTTCCATGTGGGGAGAAGTTTGATGGGGTATCTGTCATACACAGAACCTGGCATGGGGGGGGGGGTCATTTGTGGAGTTCAGTACAAGAGAATAGATGGGCAAAAGGGACTTTGAGAGGTGGGAGATGACAAGAGCAAAGTGTTGAACTAATGGGGAAAAGAACTGGCGCATGGATTAAAAAATCTGTTTCACATGTTGCTAAAACTGTCTACTTTTGAAGACTGTTTAAAAATTTGTTTCCGGTTACTGTTATCCACCTAGTGCGGTGCAGTGGTCCGAGTGGAAGAAGAAGAGATTGGATTTATACCCCGCCCTTCAATACCTTAAGGAGTCTCAGAATGGCTTACAGTCCCTTTCCCTCCCCACAGCAGACGCCCTGTGAGCAGTGTTCCCTCTAAGCTGAGTCAGCACACATTTTTGTCTTAGCTCGGAAAGGATGGCTCCAGAGCAAACTAATTTATGCAGTAGCCAAATCACTGGCTCACAACTTTAATGCCAGTAGCCCACGAAGTAGGATTTTTGCTCACGGGCCTTTGAGGTAAATGGTGCTGAGAGAGCTCTTTCGGGGACTGCTCATGAGAGAACAGCTCTGAGAGAACTTGGGACTGACCCAAGGCTACCCAGCAGCTGCATGTGGAGAAGTGGGGCATCGAAGCCAGCTCTCCCAGGCTGGAGTCCGCGCTCCTAACCACTGCACCAAACTGGCTGAGACACCCAAGTTTGAATCCCCACTCGGTCGTGGAAGTTTGTGAGTAACCTTGGGCCGTTCACACAATCTCAGCCTTGCCTACCCCACAGGGATGTTGGGAGGATAAAATATTGTCATGCCTCCATCGAAATCTATGACGCAGCCTCATTTGGAATCCTGTCTACAGTTCTGGTCCCCGTATCTGAAAAAGGACATTGCAGAGATGGTAAAAGTATAGAGGAGGGGGCAGCCAAGAGGATGAGGGGTTTTGGAACACCCTTCCCTTGGAGGAAAGGCTGAAGCGTCTGGGACTTTTCGGTTTAGAAAAGAGACGACTAAGGGGGGGAACATGATGGAGGTTTATAAAATTATGCATGGGGTGGAGAGAGCTGACCAAGAGAACTTTTTCTCCCTCTCCCCAAAGACTAGAACGCGAGGGCATCCAACGAAGCTGATGGGTAGTAGGTTCAGAACAGACAAAAGGAAATACTACTTTACACAGAGAGTGATTAATGTGGAATTGGCTGCCAGAGGCTGTAGTGATGGCCACAGGAAGAGACACGGAGGACAAGTCTATCAGTGGCTTCTAGCTATTGTGACTGAGGGGAACCTCCACATTCAGAGGCACTAAACCTCTGAATCCCAGAGCCCAGAGGCAACATCAGGGGAAGGCCTCGGCCTCTCTGCCCTGTTCTTGGCCCTCCGGAGGAACTGGTTGGCTACTGTGTGAGACAGGAGGCTGGAATAGATAGTCTATAGGGTCCCCACTGGCTTGGTATAAATGATGTAAATAAAGAAAGGTGGAAATATAACCTGCTATCTTTTAGACAACAGGGGACAATTCTTTCATGCAGGGGGTTGGGCTAGATGACCCTTGAGGTCCCTTCCAGCGCTTTGTTTCTGTTTGAAGCCCCCAGATAAAGGTAGTATATCTCATTCTGAAATGGGTTGTTGGATCAGTATACTTTTATATTGGCTCACTATATACTCTAGCAACACTGGGGATCTGAACCTTCTGGTTTTAAGACATTTCTCTAGTCGAGATCTCAGAACACCACAGAACTCGGAAAGAAAATTGTAGGCTTCAGGCTCCTGATTTCAAGATGGAAAGAAAAGGTGCCGCCACAGACCAGTCGCAGTCGCTTCTCAGACGAGGCTCTTTTGGGAAACGGGGAAAAGAAAGTCGACACACCCCGTCAGAACAGAACGTCAATCGTACGGCGGTGCTTTTTTATCAGGCGACGTGCAATTTAAACTGTTGGGCTTTATTTTGGAATCGCGTGCCTAGGCACAAGATATTGGACTGTATACAGGGCTGTTTTTGGGCAGGAACGCACAGGAACGGAGTTCCGGCTGGCTCCTGCCACGCCCAGCAGGAACTCATTAGCATAACAGGCCACACCCAACAACAGGAACTCATTAGGATTGGCTACATTAGGGGTGTGTGGCCTAGCATGCAAAGGAGTTCCTGCAACAAAAAAAGCCCTGGGTTTTGACCACAAACAAGGTGAACAGAATAAGAAGCAAAAGGTGGGTGTGGCTGGATGAGCACACTTCTGGTAACATGGGGGTGTGCTAATGAGCTGTGCTGTCAGGGGTGTGGCCTAATGTGCTAATGAGTTGGGTGTAGCCTATTATGCCAATGAGTTCCTGCTAGGCTTTTTCTACAAAAAAAAAGCCCCGACTGTATATAATGTTCTTAAACTTATGTTGCTTTGGTGTTCCACTTCCTGAGACTGTGTCTCCGTGTAAGGTTTTCGTATGAAGGGAACTATGTAGAAAGATGTTTTTTGAATAATAACTAACATCTTGTACAGCACTTGGGTTGGGTCCTTTATTTTTTAGGTTTTTTATTGCACAAATAATTACAGTTAAAATTACGTGCAACAAATTAACAAAAACTATCAGGAAATAATACCCAGTTTCAAATGCTTATATTATTTCTATTATACGTTAAAAATTAAACATTGAAACTAATCTATATAGATCTGGCATTTAAAAAATTTCACCATGTTGCTCTAAATAGTTCAACATAGGGTACCAAATAAAATCTGAGCACACTGGAAGGTCAATAGTTCAGCAGTTCGATACCCGAGTGCCGTGTGATGGAGTGAGCTCCTGTCTCTGGTTCCAGCTCCTGCCAACCTAGGTATTCGAAAGCAAGAAATTGCAGGTAGATAAATAGGTACTGCTTCGGTGGGAAGGTAACAGTGTTCCATGCGCCTCGGCGTTTAGTCACGCCAGCCACATGACCACGGAGAAGTCTTCAGACAGCGCTGGCTCTTCAGCTTGGAAATGGAGATGAGCACCGCCCCCTAGAGTCGGATTCGACTGGCTTTTGAGCAAAGGAAACCTTTACCTTATTATAAGTGCTGGTCTATTTGTCACTGTATGTTTTTGTATTGGAGCACACTGGTTGTTCGGCGCGTGGTTTGTGATCTTCTCTTTTCCTCATTCTTTTGCCCCGGGATCGACAAACCCCAGAAATGTGGAAGAAATCTGCCGCTTCCCAGACCTCCCTGTTCGGAGGCCGCTGACTTACCAGACCAAGCAGCTCATCGCGAGGGAAATCGAGCTGGAAAAGATGAGGCGGACAGAAGCCGCACTGAAGGCGCGCAACTCCAACCAGGTAGCCCTCCGGCGGCAGTAGCAAGGGCTTTTAAAGCAGACCCGTACCTGGGTGCCGCTGGGTCCAATCTCACGGGGAACATAGAAGCGAGCCAGCCGTACATACTGGTTGGAGATGTGGGGGGATAGGGGTGTGCGCCAATGTTCCCTCTAAGCTGTGAAGTCTTGTGAGCAAAAATGCAACCTTGTGAGCTACTGGCTTTAAAGTTGTGAGCGAGCCATTTGGCTGCTGCATAAATCAGTTTGCTTTGGATCCATCCTTTCTGAGCGAAGATGAAAATGTGTGAACTGGAGGCTAAAAAACTGTGAGCTGGCTCACACTAACTCAGCTTAGGGGGAACACTGGTATGCGCTCGGTATAAATTAATCCAAAAAAATACCCAATAAATACCTTCAATTGGAAACGATGGAGGCACCTTCTGGGGCCCATAGAATTGGACCACCTGGTCAAATCTTTTTGAAACTGGGGGGGGGGGGTTTGAGGAGAGGCACCAGCAGCTATGCTGCAAATTTGGTGCCTCTGCCTTACAAAACAGACCGCCCAGAGATACTCCTGGATCGATTCTCCATTACAACCTGTGGGGACTATTGACTATAATGGTCCCCATTGGGTATAATGGAGCCAAAAATTCAGCAGTCCCGAATATTTCCCGAATCCCAATACCATACTGATATTGGGATTTGGGAATATTGGGAAATACTGATATTCGTAGGGTTCAGTATACCCAAACCTGAAAATATCTCTTTTTTTGTGCATGCCCCTAGTGGGGGATTGAACCTGGGACCTTCTGCATGCTAAGCAGACGTTGTGTCACTGAGACACAACCCTTCCTAGGAAGCCTCTCAGTTTAGCCCAGGTTTTAAATATCCCAGAGGGCAAGAGCCCCCAACTGTTCCTGGGCCTCTTCGGGCCAGGGCTTGATTGAGGCCTGATCCTGCAAAGCACTATGGGTATTTAAAGCAGTGGTCTGGATCGGGAGCTGGAACACAGGCCGCCAACATGGCTCTTCTCTGTCACTGAATTAAGACCTGAGGAGGTGTCTTTAATCATTCTTCTCTCCTCCAAAAGAATATCAGAAGAGCCCTGCTGTATCAGTCCAATAGCCTATCTGGTCCAACATCCTGTCTCAGTGTCCAACAAGTTCCTCTGGAAGACCAGCAATATGGCACAGAGGCCGAGGCCTTCCCCTGGTAATACCATCAGAAGAGACCTGCTGGATCAGACCAGTGAGGGTCCATCTAGTCCAGCATCCCATCTCGCACACTGGCCAACCAGTTCCTCTGGAGGGCCAGCAACAGGGCGTGAAGGCTGAGGCCTTTCCCTGATAAGAACCTCAGAAGAGCCCTGCTGGATCAGACCAGGGAGGGTCCATCTAGTCCAGCATCCTGTCTCACACAGAGGCCAACCAGTTCATCTGGAGGGCCAGCAACAGGGCATGAAGGCCAAGGCCTTCCCCTGATAAGACCATCAGAAGAGCCCTGCTGGATCAGACCAGGGAGGGTCCCTCTAGTCCAGCATCCTGCCTCACACAGTGGCCAACCAGTTCCTCTGGAGAGGCAAGAACAGGGCAGAGAGACCGAGGCCTTCCCCTGATGTTGCCTCCTGACAGTGGGATTCAGAGGATCAGTGCCCCTGAATGTGGAGGCTCCCCTCGGTCACAATAGCTAGTCGCCACTGATAGACCTCTCCTCCATGAAACTGTCTAATCCCCTTTGAAAGCTGTCTATTCCTGTGGCCATCACTACATCCTCTGGCATCTGTTAGGCAGCAGTGGGCGGGTGAGCCACATGGCAACAGACACCTCTGCCTGCCCGCTTTACAGCCATGATTTTCATTTTTTCATTTATTTTTTTACCATTTAAAGGGATTTTACAGCCATGACCCTGACTTTCTTTAGGAAGTGTAATGAATGATACCAGGTGATTTCCCCAGGGAAAAAGGAAAGAGTTTGCCCGTTGCTAGAGATATTCTCCCTCCCTCACAAATCTGGGTTACAATGAGATTGTTGTCCCCGGCGGTCTGAATACTGGGCCAAATACCGGATTCGACGCTTGCTCAGAAGTTCTGAACGTCATGTCCCGTTTTGCGTGGAATAGGTTTGCAGCGTTAACTGCATTTAATCTGTGATGCGCAGGTGGAATAGCTGTCTGAATGTCCAGGTAGCAGAGGTATATGTCTCTAAGAAGGTTGAGTGCACGGACTCTAATCTGGGAGAACCGGGTTTGATTCCCCACTCCTCCACTTGCACCTGCTGATGTGACCTTGGGTCAGTCACAAGCTCTGGCACAGCCGTCCTTGAAAAAGAGCAGTTTGTGTCAGAGCTCTCTCAGCCCCACCCACCTCACAGGCAATGTTCCCTCTAAGCTGTGGAGTCTTGTGAGCAAAAATTCTACTCTGTGAGCTACTAGCATTAAAGTTGTGAGTGAGCAATTTGGCTGATGCATCAATTAGTTTCCTCTGGAGCCCTCCCTCCTGAGCTAAGACAAAAATGTGTGAGCTGGAGGCTAAAAAACTATGAGCTAGCTCACACTAACTCAGCTTAGAGGGAACACTGCTCACAGGGTGTCTGTTGTGGGGAGGGGAAGGGAAAGGAGTTTGTAAGCTGCTCTGAGGCTCCAAGTGAAGGGCGGGGTATAAATCCAATCTCTTCTCTTCTTCTTCTTCTGGATCGGTTTCTGTCAGAGCTCTCTCGGCCCCACCCACCTCACAGAGTGTCTGTTGTGGGGAGGGGAAGGAGATTGTTAGCCACTCTGAGACACCTTTGGGAAGTGCCCTTTGACACAGGGAGAATGTGCTGGAAACTCCACCAGCTCTCCTGCTCACAAGAGGGCAGCATTTCCCTGCTTCACACCAACTCTTTAAACCACACAATATTAGGTCAATGGCTTTTTTTTGGCAGAGGGGGGGAACGCGTGGTTTTATATAGCCTGCGGCTTTTCTGGGAAGTTCGTCCCCCTTGTGTCCAGCGGCGCTCGGTTTCCTAGTTAAGTAGGCCGAGAACCAAAGCTTTAATCGGCTTAAAAACGGGCCGGCTGGTGAGGGAATAATAAGGGGTGGGGAAAGAGAGCCCGTTTCTGCAGCCAAGATCAAACAAGGAGGAAACCTGTATGGAGATAGTCGGTTTCGCCGGGGGGACTCGCCGAGCGACTGCGATTTGGGGGTCTCGTTGGGATTTGCTAGGCAGGATGTGAAAGTGGTGGAGAAATTTAGAAAATTGCATTGACTCCTTTGATTTTTAAGCAAAAGGTCAGTGTGCTTAAAAGCGCGCGTGGGTGTATCTTTCTGTGTCCGTGTTCCTAGTTCTTCCTTTGTGCTAGAAGATGGAAGACAACGGTAGCCTCAGTCTTGTTCTCTCCAGGGGCTTCTCTTTGTAAGCATCTTTCTCTCCTCCCTTAGGAGTCGGCAGTGAGTCGGTCGGCCAAGGAAGGGGACCAGAAGCCTGGTGTCGAGTCCCAGGTGCGGAACCACGAGCAACGACTGGGCGAGATCGTGAAGAGAGCCACGTTTGAGGAGAAGGTAATGAGCAGTCGAGAGCAGGGGGGGACCAGGGCTGCATCCCCCACAGCATGGTGATTTGGGGCATTGGACCAGGCCAGGGGTCCCCGTATGTGGTGCCTGCCAGTGTTCCCTCTAAGCTGAGTTAGTGTGAGCTAGCTCGCAGTTTTTTAGCCTCCGGCTCACACATTTTCCTCTTAGCTCAGGAAGGAGGGCTCCAGAGCAAACTAAATTATGCAGCGGCCAAATCGCTCGCTCACAGCTTGAATGTCAGGAGCTCAGAAAGTAGAATTGTTGCTCACAGGACTCCACAGCCGTGTTCCCTCTAAGCTGAGTTAGTGTGAGCCAGCTCACAGTTTTTTAGCCTCCGGCTCACACATTATTGTCTTGGCTCAGGAAGGATGGCCTCAGAGCAAACTCATTTACGCAGTAGCCAAATCGCTCGCTCACAGCTTTAATGCCAGGAGCTCACAAAGTAGAATTTTTACTCACAAGACTGCACAGCTTAGAGGGAGCATTGTTCCACAGCTTAGAGGGAGTACCACCAAATGTTTTCAGAAAGCGGTTGGGGCAAATATAGTTTCTGACCGTTCCTGAAGGGGTGGGCCAGGGCTCAGCTCTTGTGGGCCTTTTCTTTCACGCCCATGGTAATGTCGATCATCACTTTAGAGTCAAGAAAGAGTTTCCCTCGGAGACAGATCGACCCAGGGATCCTGGACGGTTTTTGCCTTCTTCTGGGCATAGACCAGGGGTCCCTCCCTGGGGGAGTGGGGGGGGGGCGGGAGATAATTGTGAATTTCCTGCACTGAAGGAGAGAAGAGATTGGATTTACACCCCGCCCTTCACCACCCGAAGGAGTCTCAGAGCGTCTTACAATCCCCTTTCCCTTCCCCTCCCCACAACAGACACCCTGTGAGGTCGGTGGGGCTGAGAGAGCTCTTTCGAGGACTGCCCTTGAGAGAACACAGCTCTGAGAGAACGTGTGACTGATCCAAGGTCACACCAGCAGGTGCACGTGGAGGAGTGGGGAATCAAACCCAGTTCTCCCAGATTAGTGTCTCTGCACTCTTAACCACTACACCAAACTGGCTCTTGTGCAGGGGGTTGGACTAGATGAGGTCCCTTCCAGTGTTTCTATGATTGGCCTCTGGAGATCTGCCATATGAGTGTTTATTGGCTAGCTCAAGACATATACTTGTGTACAGGGCTTTTTGGGGGGGGGGGGTTGCCGGAACTCTCAAGTGGGAGATGAAGTTTTCAATCTGTATACTGTGAAAACTCACGGACTTTTAAACATTTTTAAAAGCGTTTTGTCAAAGAGGTTCAGGAACTGCGTTCCCCCGGGGGGGAAAAGCCCTGCTTGTGTATAGACACGAAAATATTTTGAAATAACTTGTCCATTTTGAGAAAAACATCCTGTTAAATAGCGCTTCCTCTGAAATGCTGAAAAGCTACAATCAGCAGAAGTGAACAGAGACTCACAGAGAAAGCTCCTCCCCTGCCGCAGATTTTGTTCGTTTGTAAGATGCTACCGGACTCTTGCTCTTTTCCGCTGCTACAGACAGACTAGCACGGCCACCCATCTTGATCTAGCCCCTGACATTTTGTGGTTGGCTCCACCTCCCGCAATAGAAGAGGAAGAAGAAGAAGAGGAGATTGGATTTATACCCCGCACTTCACTACCCAAAGGCGTCTCAGAGCGGCTCACAATCTCCTTTCCCTTCCCCTCCCCACAACAGACACCCTGTGAGGTCAGTGGGACTGAGAGAGCTCTCTCGAGGACTGCCCTTGAGAGAACACAGCTCTGAGAGAACTTGTGACTGACCCAAGGTCACAGCAGCAGCTGCATGTGGAGGAGCGGGGAATCAAACCCTGTTCTCCCAGATTGGAGACTGCGCTCCTAACCACTACACTAAACCAAATAGCCAGTCCGTGATTGCGCCCATCACCCTGTGTCCGATTTCCAGAGGTGCCCACTGGCTCGGAAAGGTGGGGGGACCCTTGGACTAGGCCGAGGGACCCCGTCCCATGCAGACTGTGTGCCGTTCGTGGCCACGGTCTAAAGGCCTATGTCACTTCCCCCCCTTTTGGAGGGAAAAGCTTTGTTTAAGGGCTTTTCAGGCTAGGGGCAGGGGCTGAAGGCTGGGCCCTTATGCACCACAGAAGACTTGAAATAAATCAGCTCTTCTCCGAGCCACGGGACAATTCCCCCTCGCGGCTCGGCCATCCCAAACTTTGGCTCCTGTCAACGGCAGCGACAGTTCCTAAGCCAGCTTGGGCCTTTTTGCACCCATAATCCTCTCTGAGGGAAATCACTCTGATAGGGCAGCTTCGGGGGGCGGGGGAAGCAGGCCTCCAACACTGACAGATGTGAGGTAAAACTTACAGATCTAAGATACATCTGGACTTTGTTTCTATCAGATTTCACACACACACACACACACCATAATCAGGTGTATTCAACGTTTCTTAAAACCTGAAAAATACAAACATCACTCATCTGTGGTCTAATTTTTGACTTGTTCCAGGTGAAACAAAAAGGGTGGGGAAGTGTTTTTGCCCAAAGTCAACATTTTCAGATGTTCAAACGATCCAGTCATTCTAAAGAGAGCCAGTTTAGCATAGCGTTTAGGAGTACCGCCTCTCTAATCTGGGAGAACTTGGTTTGATTCCCCACTCCTCCACATGCAGCTGCTGGTGTGACCTTCGGTTTGTCATAAGTTCTCTCAGACCTGTTCTCTCAAGGGCAGTTCTCGGGAGAGCTCTCTCAGCCCCACCTACCTATCAGGGTGTCTGTTGTGAGGAGGGGAAGGGAAAGGAGATTGTAAGCCACTTTGAGACTCCTTCGAGTAGTGAAGAATGGGGTATAAATCCAATTTCTTCCTCTTTTTCTTCTTCCCCACTCGTTCACACGCGGCTGCTGGTGTGACCGTGGGTCAGTTACAAGTTCTCTCAGAGCTGTTCTCAGGAGCCGTTCTCAAGAGAGCTCTCTCAGCCCCACCTACCTATCAGGGTGTCTGTTGTGGGGAGGGGAAGGGAAAGGGGATTGTAAGCCGCTCTGAGATTCCTTCGGGTAGTGAAGGGCAGAGTATAAATTCAATCTCTTCTTCTTCTTCTAAGTCCACATGGGGTGGCTAAGCTCGAGAATTAAGGCTGGCCCGCTTGAGGCCACCAGCCCAAAGGGACACCAGGACTTGTGGAAGGAACCGAACGGAGCCTCCTCAAGCTGTCCAGGGAGGAAACGCCCCCCTGAAGTGGGCGCGTTACAGCCTCTCTTCTCCCACTTTTTGGTATACAAATAGGAACCAGTGTTCCCTCTAAGCTGAGTTAGTGTGAGCTAGCTCAGTTTCTTAGCCTCCGGCTCACACATTTTTGTCTCCGCTCAGGAAGGAGGGCTCCAGAGCACACTGATTTATGCAGCAACCAAATCGCTCGCTCACAACTTTAATGCCAGCAGCTCACAAAGAAGAAATTTTGCTCACAAGACTCCACAGCTTAGAGGGAACGTTGATAGGAACCCACAAAAGCATCCGGAGACCCAGACGTGGCCAAAAACTTACATTCACCCCTTTGAAACCCACCCCCCTTCAGTTTGGTGTAGTGGCTAAGTGTGCGGACTCTAATCTGGGAGAACCGGGTTTGATTCCCCACTCCTCCACTTGCACCTGCTGGGGTGACCTTGGGTTAGTCACAAGCTCTGGCACAGCTGTCCTTGAGAAAGAGCAGTTTGTGTCAGAGTTCTCTCAGCCCCACCCACCTCACAGGGTGTCTGTTGTGGGGAGGGGAAGGGGAAGGAGTTTGTAAGCCGCTCTGAGACACCTTTGGGTAGTGAAGGGCGGGGTATAAATCCAATCTCTTCTTCTTCTTTCCACAGCCGGAAACCGATTTCTTTGGCCGTGTAATTGTCAAGAAGAAAGCGTCTCCTTCGACAGGTAGGTGTGTTTGGCTAAGGGGTGTGATGTCGGCCTGAACTGCTCACAACCTCTTGCGCCGAAGGGGGGGGGAAAGATCTGTGGAGAACAGACGCTTCCTCGGCGTGTGGCCGGTTTTAAGGGCCCCACAAGTATGGAAGCCCCTTTTGCAGTAACGACAGAGTTAGCCGGAAATACATTTAGAGATTCTCTAGCCGTTCGGGGAACAGGTTTTCCAAGATTTTTGTAGCTTGGGCGGCCAGGGGTCCCCAATCTTGTTGAGCCCGTGGGCACATCTGGAATTCTGATGCGGTATGGTGGGCGCAGCCACAAAATGGCCGCCGCAGGAGGTGGAGCCAGCCACAAAATGGCTGCCGCAGTGTAACTTCAGTAACACCGTGTAGGTTCTTGTGCTGTGGTAGCAGCTGCTGCCAAAGCAACACTTTTTAAAGACCTGCACAACCAATCAGAAGCTTAGTCTTAGAGAATTTTGGCTCTAAATCAGTGAATCTACGTGCAGCACTATTACCTTATGCTATAACGATAGTTATTATCAAAACAGTGATCAGCTCACCAGCTCTGCAGTTTGGAATCTCATTGTGCCTAAATTGAGAACAGATCCTGCGCTGTTTGGTTACAAATGGCCCTACCTACAGCCGTGGCTGTATCATGAAGCACTGAGCGATGGCTCAGTGGTTAAGACACTGAACTGCAAGCTGGAAGGTCGGTAGTTCAGCAGTTCGAGACCCGAGTGCCGTGTGATGGCGTGAGCTCCCGTCTCTGGTCCCAGCTCCTGCCAACCTAGCAGTTTGAAAACAAGAAATTGCAAGTAGATAAATAGGTACCGCTTTGGTGGGAAGGTAACAGCGTTCCGTGCGCCTCGGCGTCTAGTCATGCCGGCCACATGACCACGGAGACGTCTTCGGACAGCTCTGGCTCTTCGGCTTGGAAACAGAGATGAGCACCGCACCCCTAGAGTCGGATTCGACTGGCTTTCGAGCAAGGGAAACCTTTACCTTTACAACAGAAGTTGCCCGTTTAAAACAAGTTTCTCCTTCCAGCAGCCAACCTGGCGCCTGAAAAAAACACAACCGAAAAACGAGTCGGGAGGGCCGTCGGACAGAGCGACGTCTGGTTCCGGTTTAACGAAGGCGTCTCCAACGCCGTCCGGAGAAATATTTACATTAAGGATTTACTGTAGCAATAGAACACTCTGGTTTGTATATACAGCCCACCCCTCCGAAAGAAGACCCAGATGTTTTGGCACCACGGCAAGGAAAGTGGACGATAATCTCACTCTCTTTTGTACCTAATCCTCTCTCCTGTTTTTTGTAAAAAATAATAAAGCGGAAACACATGTCTAGTATTGCTTTCTTTATTCAGTTTATAAATGCGCCACTTTCCCCCTCGGCTTTTGCCTTTTTTTTAAAACTGCAAACGTGTATAATCCTACGAGATACAAAAGAGAAAAAAAAAAGTACTGAAAATCATTGCAATGTGTTATAAAAGTCTCGAGTTCCTTTACAAGTCTTCCCCCCGAAGAGAGAGAGTCAGACAAAACAGGGCTTACAGGAAAGAGGGTGACCTTGCAACTACCGGGTTCGATTTGGGACTCGCACTACTTCATTTCTCGTTGCCGATTCTTCTGCCGAAACGACAGACAGCCGGCGGTACCAAGGAAAGGGGGCGTTTCTGCCTCCTTGGACACGTCCTTCCCAAACTGTGGGCCCTCCCAAGAAGGGAGTCCCCAGCTTGCAGACTCCTCCCCCCTTTCCATTTTTAGACAATGACATCATCCCGAGAGAAGATGCACCAGGATTCCCCCATCATAGTGTCTGCCGCAATACTCAGGACGGGGGGGAGGAGTCCTAGATGCATCCCTCTCGCCCCCAAAAGCTCAGCCCCGTTCCTAAGGATTTGGGGGGAGAGAGAAGTCTGAGTTAGCCACCCTCGCAAAGGAGGAAGAGGAACGGGAAATCAAGTTTAGCTCTAGAGGAAAGCCAGCAACAACCGGGCAGCGGGCGATTCCACCTTTATGCATGCTCAAGCATCAAAGGGAAAATATTTTCAGGCGGGGGGGGGTGTCGTGGTTAGAGGAGGATGCATTTTCCTTTCTCCACCCAGGGGTTGTTCTTCATCAGCTCTGGGTTCAGGAACGGGTCGTTCGGGATGCCGTCTTCTATCCACTTAAGGAATCTGGAAGGGAAGAAGGAAAACCAAAACGGGTTTTGTTTACCGGCTTTACGAATCTTTTACAAAATTGTACCAAGACACAAAATTGTATCAAGACCCTGGAGGTCCCTTCCTTCTATGATTCTACAACGAGTGTGTGTGGGGGGAATCTAAACAAAGAGAGACAGAAGGACATCAGTAACCCCGCTTTCACAGAGAAATGGTTCCCATTTATGGAATCCGTTGCTGTAACCTTTAACTTTTTTTTACCATCTCACCCCTTGCAATGTCTGGTCGTGACTCTGTATGTGATCTTCGAGATCTTCATTACATAACAACTCTATTTAGAATTACTGGCCTCTACCTCAAAAAATCACTTCAGTACCGCCTATTATACTGTTAGCATTGTTTGACCGCATTGTTATGTATTATGTACTTTATTGACTTTTAAACTATTTTGATGTTACAGTTCTATTATATTCAGTGTTAAACTATTAATAAAAAGTTTTTTAAAGAAGGATATCAGTTTTCTAATTCTCTCGCCCACCTTGAGTTTTCGTGAAAAAGGTCGGCTGTAAATAAAGCGCCGTGGTTGGCTGAACCGATTCAAGGGGATCCAAATTATAGGGCGCCCCGGGGGCAAGACAGTCTGTCTGTCTTAGGACACCTCGCAGGTATAACTAATAAGACAGCCTACATAGACCCTGGACCCAACCCATTACAACTGGTCTAGATACACAAACTCACATGTGCCAGGGCTGCACCAAGACACAAGGAGCGTCGTCACCTCTGCAAACTAGCTAACTTTCCTCTTGTAGATGGGAAAGGGCAGGAGGTATGCAGAGAACTGAACTCCTTGGAATTCTGACCAAGCCTCTAGTTTGTGAAGATTTTTAGCAGGTCTTGCCTACTCCATGGCAAAGCGATCTTTGTACCCACGAGCAGTGTTCCCTCTAAGCTGAGTTAGTGTGAGCTAGCTCACAGTTTTTTAGCCTCCAGCTCACACATTTTTGTCTTCGCTCAGGAAGGAGGGCTCCAGAGCAAACTAATTTATCCAGTAGCCAAATAGATCGCTCACAACTTTAATGCCAGCAGCTCACAAAGTAGAATTTTTGCTCACAAGACTCCACAGCCTAGAGGGAACATTGAGAGTTAATGAAAGTAGGACTTCTCCAAGAGAAGGAGAAGAAGAGATTGGATTTATACCCTGCCCTTCACTCAGAGCGGCTTACAACCTCCTTTCCCTTCCCGTCCCCACAACAGACCCCCTGTGAGGTAGGTGGGACTTCCCTTGAGAGAACAGCTCTGAGAGAACTTGTGACTCATCCAAGGTCACCCCGCTGGCTGCACGTGGAGGGGTGGGGAATCAAACCCGGTTCTCCCAGATTAGAGTCCGCGCACTTAACCACTACACCAAACTGGGAAAGGACATGGGGAGATGCAAAGAACTGAACTCTTTGGAACTCTGACCAAGCCTCTCTCTAGCCTGTGCAGATTTTTAACAGGTCTTGCCTACTCCACAGCAAAGCTATCTTTGCACCCATGAGGGCTAGAAACTTGCTGAGAGTTTACGGTTAGTGAAAGCAGATGTGCTCTCCAAGAGCTAAAATCGTGCACCCAATACTACCGTGTCCCACGCTATCCCTCCCATGATTTTGTGGAATATAACAAGCCCCATTAATAGGAGAGGGGGGAGTAGAAGAAAGAGGGAGGTGCTGAAGGGGGCTTGTACAGGGACTCACTCGGGGATGGTTTTGGAAGACATTTCCCGCTTGTAAGCCAGCTGGTACTTAAGGCTTTCGATTTCCTTCTTCCACTGGGGGGCTTCCCATTCATCCATGGGGGCCTGTCTTGGTGGCTCCGCTCGCCAAGCACAGAGGGGCTGCGATGGTCAACCTGGATCTGAGGACAAATCAGAACTACGATTAAGAGCCACAACCTCGAACTTGTATCTTGTACATTTTTTTATCCTGGCTAAAAAGTTGGCAAATCCTCCGCGGCGAGGTAGGAGGTGTTAAAATCCTGATGGAATGGTGGTGTAGCCAGGAATTGGGGCTAACAGAGGGATGCCAGGGGCTGCAGTGGCTCAAGTGGTTAAGACGCTGAACTGCAGGCCGGAAGGTCGGTAGTTCAGCAGTTTGGGACCCAAGTGCTGCGTGACGGAGTGAGCGCCCATCTCTGGTTCCAGCTACTGCCAACCTAGCAGTTCAAAAGCAAGAAATTGCAAGTAGATAAATAGGTACCGCTTCGGTGGGAAGGTCACAGCATTCTGTGCGCCTTGGCGTCTAGTCACGCCGGCCACATGACCACAGAAACGTCTTCGGACAGCGCTGGCTCTTCGGCTTGGAAATGGAGATGAGCACCGCATCCCTAGAGTCGGATTCGACTGGCTTTCGGGCAAGGGAAACCTTTACCTAGAGGGATGCCAGCTTCCAGGTGGGACCTGGGGATCCCCCGGAATTACAGTTCATCTCCAGACTACAGAGACCAGTTCCCTTGGAGAAAATGGCTGCTTTGGAGGGTGGAGTCTATGGCATTGTACCCCACTGAGGTTCCTATCCTCCCTGGGCTCCATCCCCAAATCTCCCTGATTTGCCTCCTTCCTCTAGACCAGAGGAGTCAAACATAAGGCTCGGAGGCCGCAACCAGCCTGACTAGGTCTCTTACCCGGCCCGCGAGCAACTGGTATGTATGGAAATATAGGGTACTCCCCCTTTTATGGTATCCCTTGGGGGGAAAACCTAGTCTTGCATACGATTCGATACATCTACAGGAGGTTCTGTGGGTTCTCCAGTAAATCAATTGGTGTGACTGCTAGGAATCGATTGCTTTTGTTTGCATTTTGAGTAAAAGGTAATGTTGTTAATTGGGTTTTCCTGTGTCCTTTATAAAGTCTGTATCTCTGGTATCGGGTGTTACGCTTTATGGCACACATGGTCCGGCCCAACAAAGGGACATTTATGTCAGATCCGGCCCTCATAACAAAGGAGTTTGACATCTTGCTCGAGACTCTTATCCCACTGGGAAATGGGATATCAGTCTAACACCTCCAGTCCACTCAGGGCCCCCTACTAGGATGCCCGTCTCAGTAGGTGCACAGCCACTCTTCTCATGATACACCAGCCCTGATGGCGTCAACTGACAGGTTCTTGTGCATACAGGTTGCCAGTTCTGGGTCGAGAAATACTTGAGATATTGTGGGGGTGGAGCCTGGAGAGGGCGAGGGGAGGGGCCTCAGCAGGGTCCATATGGTTGATCCAGCAGGGCTCTTCTGATGGTCTTATCAGGGGAAGGCCTCGGCCTTCATGCCCTGTTGCTGGCCCTCCAGGGGAACTGGTTGGCCACTGTGTGAGACAGGAGGCTGGACTAGATGGAGCCTCACTGGTCTGATCCAGCAGGAGACACCCTGTAAACTTGTTGTCCGAATTTAGAATTTATTAGCCCTTGTGCTGTTAAAACTTGTTAGCCTATGTGCTTTACGGATGTTGGATAAGATTGATATCACAGCTAACAATAAGACAACCAGAGAACTGAATTTGGTTGAAAAAGAGTTGTCTCGAAACGAACAACCACTCGAGATGTTCGTATCGCTCACCTTCCGTATTTGACGTCCTGTGTTCTGAAAACATAGAAATTATAAACATCATCAAGCGTCAATTCTGTACTAGTTATTATTGTCTATTCATTGTGATTTGTGGCCACTGTGTGAGACAGGAGGCTGGACTAGATGGAGCCTCACTGGTCTGATCCAGCAGGGCTCTTCTGAGGGTCTTCTCCATGCCCTGTTGGCCCTCCAGAGGAACTAGTTAGCCACTGTGTGAGACAGGAGGCTGGACTACATGGATCCTCACTGGTCTGATCCAGCAGGGCTCTTCTGATGTTCTTATAATGCCACAGAGTCCACCCTCCAGAGAAGCCATTTTTCTCTAGACGAACCGACCTTGGTCGTCGGGAGATCGAGTGTAACGTCGGGCGATCTCCAGGCACCACCTGGAGGTCGGTAACCCTGAGCTGAGGACACTCTTCTGAACTCTGAAGTTGGCACAATCTGGGTCAGCCAGGATCTTCCATCCCCTGATTTGCATAGTTTCTCTGGAGGCATTAGCATTTGACTATCAAATCCCTTTAAACGCTGCCGAACGGGACGTGCAGCAGGGAGAGTCAAGTGGCCGCTTTTGGCTTGATGGAAATGAAAGATTAAATCTCGATGCAAATCGCTGTCTGTGAGGAGTAGGGGGGGGGGGCTCTGACGAATCCAGAATCAAAGGTGGTTTCGGCAACCTCAGAGTCCGGTTTTGGGAAGCGCCTTGCCGCTGCTTTTTGTCTGGGTTCGGGGCAACACTATTCAGAGGGTATCGGGCAGCCATCTGGGATGGCAAAATTCCTCTTGTCTCTGCAAAGCCAAACGGTTCAAACAGCCAGTTCTCACCGAGCAGGTCACTCTGCATTTGGGCTGCAACGGCTCAGACGGCAGGAGGGTTTCGGCGCGACGAAGCATTCTGCTATAAACAGAATTCGCTTCACGAAATTTCGCGCAGGAACACTAGACCACCTGGTTCCTACAGGTATCTTCAGTGACCATTAGTCCTGGGAATCTACAGCAGGACTGTCAATAACAGACTGCAAGGAAGGTACCTGTGCTTTCTCTGTTGTGGTCCCCACCTTGTGGAACAGCCTACCCGAGGAGGTCAGGATGGCTCACATAAGAAGAGCCCTGCTGGATTAGACCAGTGAGGGTCCATCTAAGCCACCATTCTGTCCCACACAGTGGCCAACTAGTTCCTCTGGAGGGCCAACAACAGGGCACAGAGGCTGAGGCCTTCCCCTGATGTTGCTTCCTGGCTCTGGAAGTCAGAGGTTGACTGCCTTTGAATGTGGAGGTTCCCCTCAGTCGGCCAGTAGCCACTGGTAGATTTATTCTCCATGAATTTATCTAATCCCCTACTACCCTGGTGGCCATGACCACATCCTGTGGCACTGAGTTCCACATGTTAATCACTCTTCAAGTGAAGTCTTCCATCTTCTCTTGTCCTCAATCAGTTCAGTTCAGTTTATTGTTACAGTCCCTTAGACCAGTCATACAAAAAAAGAAGTGCACCTTGACAACATTCCAAAATTTAAAATACATCAATGAGACATTTAAAGCAGATTCAAATGTAATCTAATGTCTTAACTACAGTTAACTACCTAACGACCATACAATTTCCGTAACCCGAGTATCGCCAAACAGAAACTGGCTACTCGGTAGGTGATCTTGGGATTTCTATCAGATAGAAGAAACTCGAGTCTAGTTTTTTCATAAAGTCCTGGAATTTTTTCAGTCATAAGAACATAAGAGAAGCCAATGTTGGATCAGGCCAAAGGCCCATCCAGTCCAACACTCTGTATCACACAGTGGCCAGAAATACCAGTGCCATCAGGAGGTCCACCAGTGGGGCCAGGACATTAGAAGTCCTCCCACTGTTGACCCCCCCCCAAGCACCAAGAAGACAGAGCATCACTTGCCCCAGAGTCCCTATTTAGACCTTGTGGCTAATAGCCACTGATGGACCTCTGCTCCATATGCTTATCTAATTCCCTTTTGAAGCCGTCCATGCTTGTAGCCGCCACCACTTCCTGTGGCAGTGAATTCCAAGTGTTAATCACTCTTTGGGTGAAGAAGGACTTCCTTTTATCCGTTCTAACCCGACCGCTCAGCAATTTCATGGAGTGCCCACGAGTTCTTGTATTGTGAGAAAGGGAGAAAAGTACCTCTTTCTCTACCTGCTCTTTCCCATGCATAATCTTATAAACCTCGATCATGTCACCCCTCAGTCGTCGTTTCTCCAAGCTAAAGAGCCCTAAGCGCCTTAACCTTTCCTCATAGGGAAAGTGTTCCAACCCTTTTATCATTCGAGTTGCCCTTTTCTGCACTTTTTCCAAAGCTATAATATCCTTTTTAAGGTGTGGTGACCAGAACTGCACACAGTATTCCAAATGAGGTCGCAATGGAGTCAATGGAGTGATTATCTTATTAAACGCCACCTTATAATATGGGCATATAAGAAACATGTGCTCTGTAGTCTCAACCTCCTTTAATGGGCAGGTACAAATCCTATCTGTGAAAGGAATATTGTCCTCAATTTATTGCCCAGCAACTTTGGCGAGTACCCCTGAGGTTCTGGCAAGACGGGAGAGGGAGAAAATATCTAACATGTCTCCCCTGCCCAAATTCCACAGCCTCCCCCCGTAGGGAAGATGCTCTAGCCCCTTGACCATGTTGGCTCTCCTTTTCTGCATCTTTTCCTGAGCTCCAATATCTTGCTTGAGACCCACATGGTCCACAATATTCCAAACCCAGTTTCCTCTTCTCCTGCCTACCTGGAAGACTTCGTTTGGTTCTGTCGACTACTGTCAACTGTCAAGGTACAATTTGAGGATAGATACCTGGGCAGTTTGTCCAGCTCCATACAACACTTCTCGTAGTCTTTTAAAGAACAGAATCTTACCTGAGCAATCTAGATCTTGCCCCGGGGGAAAGGATTCTGGCCCCTCTGCCCTGCAGCGAAGGGATTTGTCCTTGGCACAGAGGGTGGATCATGGCATTCAAAGAAGACGCAATCACGGACATTATTTGACTGCAGTTTGCATTTTGCTAATACTACCCAGTTTAGGGCAGAGAGATGGGTGTTGCTTGGATAAGGTTTACCTCTACTTCCCCTATGCTTGTCTTGTTTTCACTTCTTGATTTTTTTAAGGAAAGGCTGAGACAGTTGGTTGTTTAATATTAATAATAAATAATAATATTTAATAGTCCTCCCATTCATGGAGGAATTGTATAGTTCTCGATGCTTGAAAAAGCAAAGAACATTTTACAGGATTTGTCACACCCTGAACACTCCCTGTTTGAACTGCTGCCTTCG